CACCACCCACCACACACACACACACGTGGTGCCGGCCGCATTGCTGTGCGCCGCACGGAGTGCCCAAATGAGGCGCTAGTACGCGGCCACCGTGAGGTGCAACTGTATGGAGGCGAGGGCTGAAGCGACCTGGGCAGCTTTTTTCATTCGTGCAGGTGTTCAAATATACACACACTCACATGGTCCTCTTGGGCTGCTGGACACGTGAGGTGAAGGAACACCACCTGCCGAGGTAGTTTCTTTTCTTTTTTTTTTCTTTGTTTGCCTTTGGGGTCCTGCGGGGATTATTCATTTCTCATTTCCGTCTTTTTTTCTTCTTTTGCTGCCCGGGCGATGCCCGCCGCTGCCGCCACCGTGTGGGGCCGCGCCGTTCTTAAATCCCTCTTCCGCCGGTGTGCCGACACACCCCTCCGTTGTGTATTTCTTTTTCCTCTCCCACTTCTTTCTCCACACACACGCAGTAGGAAAGAGGCCAAACGCTGCTTGCCGCCGCTGTGCGTCTTGAAGGCTCTGCAGCCACCGCCGGCAATCAACACAACACACACGCACTGAAGTGCCGCTGCTGCTGCCAGGCCCCACCGCAAGGAGGGAAGAGAGTGAAGAGAGAGCGGCCCGACATGCCCCGGCAACTGCTTTCCTCTGCAGTACTGCTGTCGCTCCTCGTGCTGTGGATATGCTGCGCCATCAACTGTGGGTCGGCGGCTGCTGAGAGTAAGCGAAACGAGGCACAACAACCGCCGCCAGCATTCGAGTTGCTAAGAAAAAGTGGCAGCGAGCCGAATGGATAATTCACTGGGACCGGCCTCACTACTGGGAAGAAAGTGTGCTACTTCAATGGACACTCCTTTGTGGGTGTTGGAGGGGCGGTGGTTGTCCTCGCCAAGGCCCGCTACGGCCCTGGCCTCATCTCCGACGTTGGGATTTGGGCAACGTGCATCAGCAGCGAACGGGGTGGAGGGAGCAGCTGCGCGTCACTGCCTGCTGCTGCTTCTCAAACTGAAACAGGAGGGCAGTGGACAGACGTTGTGCCTAGCGGCGGCGATGGGCGGCAGCGTGGCTCGCTTGTCTTCCGCTACGGCCCCAGGGCGGTTGTGGACAATAAAATACTGCTTCTGCTGGTGAGCTGCACGGAATCCGCAGGGGGACAGCCAACCTCACAGGGCAGTTGGGATGCTGCGCTGTACACCGGCACGGTCGCAGGCTCCGATGGAGCCAACGCAATAACGTGGGCGAAATCCACAGTGTCACCATCACCATCAAAACCCCGCCTTTACCGCACAGGTGGCTGCAAAGAAATTGAGGTCCTTCGTGGACAACGCGGGGCGGGGCGTAGTGCACCAAGGTAAGGTTCTCTTCCCCCTGGTGGCGGTGAGCTCCGAAAGCGGTATGCGTGTCTGCGCAGTCGTCTCTTTGACGGAGGGCAACGGAGAGACTGCGGGGAGCGGGACGTGGAGTTTCTCTCCGAGCGTTGCGGTGGCCGAGGGCTGCGTCGCCGCGACGCTCCTCGCGTGGAAAAAGAAACTCCTCATGATCGCCGTGACTGAACTTCGGCGCTACCGGCTGTACGAGTCGGCTGACGCGGGGGCGACGTGGACGGAGACGACGGGGCCGCACGCGCACCTGTTGGGCGACTTCCTCAACGGCGTCGAGCCCGGCGAGGGAGACGACTTCATCACCGCGACCATCGGCGAGGCGGAGGTGGTGCTGTTTGCCCGGCGGTGGCACAGCTACGGCAACGCGACAGGCGCCATTGGAAGTGTGCTCCAGCTTTGGATGGCCGACGGCAGTCGCCTGCATCCGGTGGGCCAGATCTCGACGGAGCCGCCGCAGAGCCACGACTTCAGTGCTCTGCTGTACACGGAGGATAATGGCTTGTTTGCCATGTACGAGAGACGAGACAATACGTCGCGCAGCCTTCTCCTTGCGCCTCTCACCGAGCAGCTGCAGCGGGTCAAGGCGGTGTTGAATGCGTGGAAGGAGACGGACACAAAAAGTCGCGGCACTGTGCGGCGCCACCACGGCGGCGGCAGGGGAGAAGGGTGTTGCTGC